AAACAATTGATGTATGTATGGATTGTGATGAGTTGGATGAGCCCCCAATAAAATGATTAAAAACAAACAAACAAAAACAGTTATTCTTATAAGGGATTTGGATAACTCAGCCAACTCTAGCTTTTTTTTTTTTTCACACCAGACCTGTGGAGAGATTTCTTCCCTGGGTCACAGACCTCAGCTCGATCCTCAGATGTTGTAGCCCTGTGCCAGGGCTCGGAGATGCCTGGTGAATTACCCCGGGAGAGAGTTGCTCAGGAGGGAATGCTTAAGGCTGCACAGAGCCATTGGGTCTGGGAAGTCGGGTGTGCGGCTGCGAGATGCTGTCAGGTCAGCCCTGGCCCATAGTGACCCAATGTTCAAGAGAAGGAAGCATGCCTGTGCCATCCTCACAATTACTGCTGGGCTCCAGCTCTCAGGTACCATCACCGTGCCAATCCCTCTGAAGGGTTCCCTCTCTTCCACTAAGACTCTACTTGAACAAACACAGTGTCCTCCTCCAGGCACTGGCCCCTCTGAGAACATGTCCAACGTAGTGAGACGAAGTGTGGCTATCCTCACTTCTCAGGAGCATTCTGGCTGTACTTCAGGAAACAGCTCTGCGTGGCTCAGCTGAAGTTAGGCGGCCATTCTTCAGCCAGTAATAAAAGAAAAAAAAATCAAATTCGCTGCAGTACAGTCAATGTCAATACCTGATAGGACAGGGTAGAACTGTCCCCCAGTGAGACTCACTGTTTAAAGGAGTAGAAAGCCCCATCATTTTCCTGGAGAACGGCGGGTGGTTTCGAACTGCTGACCTTGCTGATCATGGAGAGAGCAATTTTAACATGAAGTGCCTCACCAAAACCCATGAGAGGGAAGGTGCAAACAAGAGCTGCCATCAACAGCCTGAAGTGAGAAAGTGCACACGGACTTTACAGTTGGCTCCATGTGAATCCACAAGCACGCCGCAGCTTTCAAAACCACATCCAGAGAAGCATGTCAAGTGACAGTCGACAGCATTTTCCTAATAGTGGGAAGTGTAGTCTTCCTTAAGGACCGCTGGTGCTATAGCACATTGAACTGCTAGCCACACGGTCAGCAGTTTGAATCCACTAGCTGCTCTGAGAAAGAGGAGACTGTCTGCTCCCATGAAGATTTAGCCTCAGAGACACAAGGGGACAGGTCTACCCTGTCATGGAGGGTCCCCGTGAGAACATCGACTGGATGCAGTGGCTTGGGTTGGGTTTTTGGTTAGTCTCCAGTACAGGGTAATTAGCTACATGGGGCTCCTTCCCATTTGGCACAAGGACATCTCCAGAGCCCAAAGCATGTTACACAAAGTCCCACCCCCACACCTCACCTGTGTATTAGAACCAGCTGGGAGTCGGTAAAATCCTCGGCTTCCCAGGCTACCCTTGCTGCTGGGGTGGAAACAGAGCCCGTGGTCTTTGGGGGCTCACAGGTGATGTGAGGCTGGAACCCCAGGAACCATGCACCAGGCTTGCTATCAGGAGGCCGTAAGATCAAAACACCCAGGGCATGGCCAGGCCCTGGATTTGTGCCCAGGAAATGGCACCAGAGAGGTCACGCAACTGTGGGTCTACGGCAACCAGTGTCTGCTTGCCGAGAAGTCTTGGCATTCTCCTTTGGGTGCAGCCTTGAGTCTGACATAGAGGCTCCCCGCCACCCAGCCCCCTTCACCCCCAGCCCTCCCGGAGGAAGAGCAGAGACAACACAGGTTGCACATTCCTTTTGTAAGCACTTGGTTTTATTGCATGGAAGCAATTGGAAGTAGACTTCAGTGGAAAAGTGCGCCCTGGCGTGATTCAATGGTCAATGCCCAGCCCCGCCTGCTCCAGCTCTTCCGGGATGGAGCGCTCTGGGCAAGGGCCTAACCACTCCTTTGGAAAAATCAGAAGGCATTCGGGAATAGGTTAAGACATCTCAAGCATAATGCGTTTCTAACTGCTCATTCATTATTGCGCTCACCTGTCAGTTGCGCATACAGGATAATAAATGCACTTATTTGGAAAGGGGGGGGCAGTTTTTATAGTCAAGTGTGGCATTCTGCAAAGATCACATTCGGGTACATAAGCTATCATAATTGTCTGTCGCCTGGGGAGGGTTTTGAGGGTGGGCTGTGGGGCTGGGGGGGGTCCCCTTTCTTGTGGAACATATTGCTAACAGAAATGTCCGTTTGGTGACGGAGGGCCCCCGCCATCTAAGCAGAGGGTCTTGGGATGTAAAGAAAGGGAAGGACAGATGAAAGTTTGTTACAAGGACCCACCAGCTCCCGCCTGCCCCTCCTGAGTTTCTTTGGCTGCTCCAGAATGTTCCTCTTTCTGACTTACTTCTCCCCCTGGGTGGCTTTCTCCTCCGGGACCTTCTCCGGAGACCTGCTGTCTCTTTGGTCTGTGCTGGAAGACTTTTCGACTGTTTCCGTCTTGGGTTTGCTGTCCACAGTCTTGTCCTCCTCCTTGGCTGGGGCCTCCAGTTTGGATTTCTCTGCAGGCTTCTTGGCCTCGGGGGCCTTCTCCTCCTTGGACTGCTTTTTCTCCGGTGCGGCTGGTGCCTCCTCCTTTTTAGGCTTTTTCGGTTCCTTCTCGACTGGTGTGCTGGGCTCTTTGGCCTTGGCATCGCCCGGCTCCTTCTTGGCCACGTCGGTCTTCTCTTTGGGTTGGGGCTCTTCCTTCACCTCCACCTTGGCAGGAGCTTCCTTCTCTGGGGTCGCCGCCTCTTTCTTTCCTTCCATCGCTTGCTTCTTGGCTTCAACTTTGGATTCTTTGGGCTTCTCGGCAGCAGGTCCCTTCTCCTCAGCCTCAGGCTTTGCCGCCTCCTTTTTGAGCCCCTCCTCTTTCTTGCTGTCCTTCTGCTCAGTTTTGGGGGCAGCTGGACCTTTCTCTTCCTCCCCCTTCTTTGGGGGCTCTTTGCCTTTAACCTCCTGGGGCTTCTCCTCCTCTTTCATGGGGGACTTCACTTCTTCCTTCTTTGGGATCTCCTTCTCAGGAGACTTGACCTTTTCTGGGGCCTTGACCTCCTCCTTAATAGGAGTTTTGGACTTTTCGGGGGACTTGACGTCTGCAGGAGACCGTACTTCCTCCTTTATAGGTGTCATGGCTTCTGAGGATTTCACCTCAAGGGTCTTGGTCTTCTCAGGGGACTTGACCTCCTCCTTCACTGGGGTCTTGGCCTTCTGGGGGGACTCTGCTTCTTCCTTCATGGGGGACTTGGCCTTCTCTGGGGACTTGACCTTCACTGGGGACTTAACCTTCTCTGGGGACTTGATCTCCACTGGGGACTTGGCCTTCTCTGGGGTCTTGACTTTCTCTGGGGACTTGATCTCCACTGGGGACTTAGCCTTCTCTGGGGACTTGACCTCC